CGCTGGGTTGGTACATTTTCCACTAAAGCAGCGACTTGGAATGACTCGCTAAGAGACCATACCTTCTGAATGAATATCATGCAAAATATTTGAAAACTTTGAACTTGAGATATTACCGTTTGGGAGTCACCCATAACAAAGTCCAGAAATTATACCGACGACAAATTTCTTCGTGCCGCATCTTTGTCTTGTATTTCTTCTCCAAAGAATCCACAATCTCTTTTTGTGTTTTCAGAGGACTGTTATACATTATACAGATATTTGTCAAGGCCATTTAGGATGTAGTTTCTACACAGGAATCTGAATGTTCCAAGATCTACAGCGAGCACGGCAACAACTTGCCGATCACTTTCTACCTCTTTAAGTGCTGGAGCCTCTTCATGGAAAAACCGGGCAAATTAAGAGTTGTAAGATAGAACAGCATCTTCTGCTACCATCTCTTAAACTCTGGTACCATTAAATTTTTCCGGTTTTTTTCCATGATTGATTGGTTACATGAACATGGTTCTGCGATAGGGACCGATTGTGGTGTAACAATAAGGAGTACCACTGCCCAGACTGCAGTTTAGTTGTAGTAGCCATAATCTCTGATTACAAAAATCAGAAAAATTAAAACACAAATAATTTTCTAGTTACTAAACCAGAAAATAATTATAACAACAAAAATAATTTTATTTCCTTGTTACTTAAACTTGAAAAATAAAATATCACAAGAATTTTCTGTAATACCAAATAATATTCTGAATGTTAATGACACCAGTATCGTACTACTAGTAGTTGTCAAAGAAAAGAGACAGTATATTACTACTATCTGTCAAATAGCATAAATCACTATTTGTTTTTCCAACCAGAATATTAATTTGAAAACACAGAAAATTAAATACAATGAAGATACCCAAAAAGGATTCTGTCTTTAGATTGTTGGACAATCTTCACCGTATTTAAAAGGATTTAATTCTGTTGTGTACAAAACAACACAAGATAAAAAAATAGAGAAAAGGAGAGAATATGTTTGATTACAAAAATCAAACTCGAAATAAAAATAAATAAATAAATAACAAATAAAACAACACTGAAAGTAATTAAATAACTTACTTGATTTAATTTCTTCGAATTATTTTTTCCGATCAAGTCCAGTGTTTAACACTGTGTCCTTAAGACAGATTCGTCCTCTCCACGGTGCTTTCAGAATTCGGACGTCTATCTCCCAGGATGAAATGATCTTCCACAAACAATAGCAGCACTACTAATTGTTTGCCTTACGAACACACTAAGTGTTTACACTCTTTCTTTTGAAATAAAATGCAGCAAGATGAAGAATAGAAACAGAAGTGAAATACGAAATTTCTGATGAAAACAACAAATGAGGGTGGTCCTATTTATAGATGTGAAGGTGGCTCTTCATTTTGAATTAAACAGGTATGTAGCTCTTGGTTTTGAATTGAACAGGTATCATATCTGTTGGGTTTTGAATTCAAACAGATTTGAATCAATTCAAACAGATAGTAAAACGGGAAGGGCCCTGTTTGGGTGTGCATTAATTCCAAAACAGTTTATTCCTGTTTGAAACCGGGAAGGGCCCTGTTTGGGTGTGCACTAATTCCAAACCAGTTTATTTCTGTTTGAAACCGGGAAGGGCCCTGTTTGGATGAACAAATAATCCAAACCAATTTAATTTGAATTATGGATTTTATTTTAATAAAAAATAAAATTAAATTCAAATGTTTTTGGCCCAAAAAGATTAGAAGCCCAACCACACACCCGCGCCCAAGCCCAGCCCAGCCGCCCGCCCAAGCCCAGCCCAGCCCGCCCGACCGCGGCGGCGGCGCGCGTGTGGTGATTTTTGGATCCAATGGGTCTAGCCCATTTTGCCCATAACCTCTCCCTCTAAAACACTTGGGTACCTCTTGGGGCACACCCCAAGTATCTCACCCTAAGCCTTATAAACCCTTTCAAAACCTCCCACCAAACCAATGTGGACAAGCCAATTTACAACCTTAAGGAATTTTCACCAAAACTCCATTTCCATGGAGTACACTTTGGCTTCAATTTCCCATTCACTTGGTAATGGTTTTGAGCAACCAAATATACCACGTGAATCACAACGCGGCATAGAACGCGTTACCACTTTGACCCGAGTAAATCGACACTCGGGGCCCACCTAAAAAATAGACCGAACTTAGGAAAAAATTCTGGTTTTATCCAGAATTTTATAACCATTCCAACAATTTTTATTTATTTGAATTGCAGACGCATCGCGTGTGGCAACCGCTAGTTTATTTAAATGTCACATAACTTCCATGAGAGCTATTAGCGACCAAACTTATTACATCGTTGTGGCTTGAAAAGTATTGTTTATGTGATTTTTTTTTTATTTATAATTTTTCATATTAAAAAATTATTTAATTTTCACTTTGTAGGTTTCAGTTGTATCAAACATCACATTAGATGGTGTTTAGCAATTCAGAACTTAAACTAAATGTTTTAATTAAAGTACATTTGATAATCATAATTTGTGTATTTTAAAAGTTTAAGTGATTTATTAAAATGTAATCTAAAAGGTTTTTAAAACAAAAAAAAAAAGGTAAACTAGTAATATTAACTGAATTTATTATTACTTTTATATAAATATCAACATATACTATTATAAACTCATCCACAACCGCCCCCAACTCAACCACCACTATTGTCATTTTCACCACCTCTACCAATACAATTGTCATCGTTGCCACTAGCAGGATGGACCTAAGATTTGGGGCGCATTTAGAAGGGCTGAGATGAGATTGGGTTTAAACAATTTAAATAATATTAAAACACCCCACCCAATATTTTCAAAAATCAATAATCTAAATAAGTATATTTTTTTACTTTTTAAAAAATATATATAAAAAAGTAAAAAAAATAATGTGACTTAAAAAAATAAAAAGACGTGTTAAAGTAGTGTATGTACAACTTTTTGTGAACCAATGTTTGGCTATAATTTTTAAAATTTAAATTTTTTGCACTTAATAGGAGATTCGCGGATTAGTAAAGTAAACTAGGATAACTGAACGTTTGATATTTCTCCAAACACTCGTATCCGAGCCTTTCAATTAAGTTCTATAAATTTATTCTTCACATGCATAATAATCAATTCCAATTCCTCAGATATAATGGGAAGGTGGCCTATGCATGATGGAGGGCGGCCAGGTACTAAAAATTTTAAGACTAGAGAGCGGGTTTGCATTAAAGTTACTAGAAGTCGAGTTTCCAAATAGGCACTAGGGGGTATTTGGTGTGGAATATAGAGGTGATTATACTTTATTTTAATTTGAAAATTTGTGACAAACTATTTGGTATAACTTCTGTTTAAAACTTTTTAGACAGAAATAACTTAAATAAACTGAGAAAAATTGATTATTTAGAAGTTAGGGAAATGTGCTTTTGATTTCTACTTTCTGATTATCAGTTTTTAGTTTACAATAAATTACACCAAATAATACCTAAATGTAATATATGTGCAAACGGTGTGATTTTAATATATGCATGTATTATTGGTGCTAATTAAACTACTATGGCATAGGAATTTGAGATGGTTTTGGAGAAAATGAATGGCCAAGAGATCTTAGCATCGTCTAAAGGCAACAAGAGAGAGGCCTCCTCGTCATTGAAGTTGGGAGGAGGGACGAGGAGGTTTTTGCGTGGGCCCGGATCATCCCCGCCGCAGTGCATGTCAAAGTGTGGCACGTGTACGCCGTGCAAGCCGGTGCATGTGGCAGTGCCGCCACCAGGGACACCGGTGACTGCCGAGTACTACCCAGAAGCTTGGAGGTGCAAATGTGGCAACAAATTGTACAAGCCCTAGCCTTGGTGTTTGCTATATATTAATACTTCACATAGAATCCTCATTTTCTCTCTTTCAATTTGTAGTATATTGGAAGAGAAATTTTTGGGTACTCAATTGTCATATAATACTTTACAACTAATTATTAATTATTGTTACTTTCTTATTATTATTAAAATTATTAGAGTAGAACAAGTGACCAAAACGGTACTAATGCCTTATTTGATTAACGTGAAGGGAAAGAATTAATAATTTTATGAATTAACATAGAATTAGTTATTCAATTAAATTAGTAAGATAATAATTTATTATGTATTTTTTTTCTTTCTTTCTTTTTGTTTTTTTTTTTTTCATACTGGAAAATACGATTCCCAATCCTTCTCAATATTAGAAATTCGTTAAATTTATCGGATTGAATGTTCACCGTACATATAAGCTAATTAATAAAATTTCAGTCAAATATAAGATTGTCAGTCTATAAATTAACAATTCCAATCTTAGACCACAATCATACTGATCAAACATGTCATAAGTGCCTAATAATTGCTTGCCTTGAGCACATTATCTTCGTTCTAGAGATAAATTATTTAGTAAATTTAATTTATAACATAACTATATATTCATTTAGGACTATTTTAGAAAGATAATTAAAAGTCATCTTTCAGTTTTAACCTATTTTGGATTACATCATCTCTCACAATTTTTATACATTTTTTTTAAAAAAAATTAAATCAATTTTTAACTATCTTCTCAAAACAACTCTTTATAATGAAGATATTAATAACAGAGACGCAATACTCGTATTTAAAAAAAAAAAAATCATATACTTCTCTATTGTTAGAAGATACATCCCATGTAGAGTTCAAACTTACTAAATAATTTTTATTTATTTATTTATTTATTTAATGGATGTAGAGAGCTTGGTTTATAGTTGGACTCCAATGAATTAAAGCATTGTTAGATTTTTTTTTTTTTTTTTTTGGAACTCAAATCACATTGCGCCGCATTGGTTAACTTTTTTTTTTTTTATTATTATTATTTTATTTTTATACATTAGAGAGAAAAAAAATAAAACAAATTTGAATAAAAAGAGCAATGGAACCTGCAGATAGGGTATAGAATCTGTAGATAAGAGTAGGTACAGTAGTTGGTGGGGGAGATATCGTTGTGATATGGTTGTCGGCCTTGATTCCCTTTGAGTTTTAAAATTAATTTTTTGAGTATTTGATTTGTATTTTTATATTTGCAGTGATTTTTTAAAATATTTTAATTAATTTTTAAAAAAATATAAATCTACTTAATCTTAATATACTTAAAAAGTAAAAAATGTATACAATTTTTTTTAAAAAAATTCATTGAATACAATAAAATATGAAAATGTAGTCACTTTACTTGGTTTGGATTTTCTAAAAATATTTAAAAAAATTCTACTTTCTTATTTTTCGTATTTTTTATTTTTACTGAATTTTTTTAATATTTTAAGCAATTTTTTTAATTTTTAGCTACACCTAACATAAATACACTTAAAAGTATAATTTTTGTGAATTTTTTTTTAAAAAAATTCACTAAATATCAAAAATATAAAAAAAAAACAAAAATTTAGTATATTTTTCGTATTCTTGTGTATTTATTAATTTTTTGAAATATTTTTTGACAAATATTTTACTTTTTAGATACATCTAAGTAAGGTATATCTAAAAAAGAAAAAAAATGCTTAAAATTTTTAAAATATTTACTAAAAACAAAAAACACGAAAAACAATAAACTCAATTTTCAAAAAATTGAATTCAAAAAACTGAAACTAAACACACTGATTAATTTTTTGTGAATTTTTTTTAATATTTTTTTGTATTTGGTGAATTTTTTTATTTTTATTTTTTTTTACAAATATTATACTTAAGCATATTTAGATTAGGTATATCTAAAAATTAAAAAATTTGCGTAAAATATTAAAACAATTCACTAAAAATAAAAAATAAAAAAAACTCAATTTTTTAAAAAGTTGACTCAATTTTTTAGAACCAAACACGGGGAATGCAATATAACGTCAAGTTTGAACCAAAGTTTAAAGAAAGTGATATGAAAATTTACTTTTTTTAGATTTATTTATTAAATTTAATGATGCGTAAACGATTAGTTAACTAATGATTAAAAAAGATATAAAAAAAAAAAAAGAATTATCTTAGATATTTTAATAAATTGCCATATCTTTGGGTTTGAAAAATAAATATAATTCTTAAGGTAAATTCTTTCGACTATTAATGAATATCAATTTATCCTTATCTTCTATAAATTTGTATATTTTAATTCCTTTAATTATAATAATATAGTATTTTTACCTTTTCACATCACCTTTGAAAGGGTATATTTGTATAACTTTAATAATTGAGGGGTAAATATATACGAATTCATCGGGGAAGGGATAAAGTAATATTCACAAATAGTTGGGGGTGAATATGTATGGGTTCTATAGATAAAGGAGTAAAGTAATATTCACTAATAGTTGATGAAGTCTTAGTATAATTAACCTAAGCTTAAACTTAAAAACTATAGGAGCCCCCCAAGATAAAGCCTAAAGGAGAAATTATAAGGTTCGTTTGGGAAGTAGGTTGACTTTTTAACTTTTTAACTATTTTAGTCTGAGGTTAAAAAGTCTCGTTTATGATGAATTTTTTGATTTTTTTAACTTTTGTGAGAGAAATAATGTAATGATTATAAATTGGTTATGATATTTTATCTTATTGAGCTAAAAAATTTATTTTATTTTTTTGTAACTATTTTAACCAAAAAAAGTCTTAAACCTAACTTTCCACACAAGCTCTAAATCAATTAAAAATATCAAAAATAATTACAAATATATGGGGTATAATTTTTTCTATGTAACAAAATCATAGCAAAAGTTGCACCTCACTTTTGGTAAATAATATCTTACTTTTTTGCCATCTTGTAACTTTTATAGGACGTGTAACTTTTTGGATAAATTACTTCACAATGGTTTCTTTAAAAATTAATGGATCTGGCTAATAAGTATCTCTGGTATATAAGCAAAAGATAAAAAAATTAAAGAACATAAAATATTTGTTATTAAATACAATACATTTTTATTAAAATCAATACATTTTTAACATTTTTATATATTTTCAAAACATTTTTTTGCATATTTTTTAATATTAAACAATACATAAAGAGCATTTGTCAAAATTTAATTACTAATTAATGATAAAATTTATTTCTTCATATTTTAATATTTATAAAGTTTATCATTATTTATAAATGTTTTTTTAAAGTATGCTGAAATTTTCCCTAACTTTCTTCGGTGTACAGAAATCATAGCAAAAGTAGCACCGCCAACTTTTTAGTAAATAATTTTCTCAGTTTACACCATCTTGTAATTCCTCGCATAAAGTTGAACTTCTGTCTAATCCAGATCTTTCAAGTCAAGATTCTATAATTTATGACCTCTTCTCTATGATGCCTCTGTGCGGTGAAATTTTTTTAAATTAAAAGTTGATGGCTGGAAACTTTTTTTTTTTAAATTAGAAGTTGGTAGTTAAGAAATAAAAGTTAAAAATAAGAGTGCAATAATGAGTCACAATTTAGGCTGAGCCCGGCTCGTTAGGTCCGTTTGGGTTTGGGTTCAGACCCGAGTCTAGTCCAAGACCTTAGGTCAAGGTTTGGGCCATCATTTTGAAATCTAACACAACCCTTGGGTCTGACCCATCAGCCCACTTAAGGTTCGGTCCGCTCGAGGCCCAATATTTTTTTTAGTGAAAATTAATAAAATTTTAGAAAAAAAATATAAAAAATTTGTTCAGGCCTCCCTAAGCCTGCTCCAAGCCCGAGCCCGAGCCCGAGCCCAAGCCCAGGCCCAATGCCCGAATACTCCTTGGAAATTGGCCTAATTTTCTGGCCCGTGGACCAGCCCGGCTTGACCCAAATTTTGGCGAAAGCCCACGAGGCTCGACATGGGCCGGGCCGAGCTAAATTTACACCCTTCAATTTTTAAATAATCAAGTTATTCAAGTTATTTCTACCCAATAAATTATAAGTAGAAGCTACACAAAATAATCTAGTACAGACTCCCAAATCAAAATAAGTCATAATCATCTCAAAAACTGTAACAAAGAGTCCTGGTATATTGTTACTTCAATGAATTTGCTTCACTGTAAGATTCACCATTCAAATGAATTTGCTTCAATGAATTTGTTTGGAAACACTATTTGGACTAAAATAGCCATATAAGATAAAATAGATTGTTTTAGTCAAATATAACAAAATATCAAATCTAATTCATAATCATTTCATTTTTTCTTTTATAAAAGTCAAAAAAGTTAAAAAGCTTATCACAAACGAGATTTTTTAACCTCTGACTAAAATAATCAAAAAATTACAAAACTAACCCATATCCTAAACGAGTTCTATGTACTAGTACTAAGATGAGTCCTAGACAATCAAACCTAATTTTAACAGCTAGAACAAGAGCAACGCAACGCGTTAATTGGGATGTTTTGATTTTAGCTAAAATAATTATTAAGATAAAAAAATATAGAATAATTAATAAAATAAAATATGATATTATATTTTATACATCAATTAATTATTTTTTCTCTCACAATCCTCTACTAAAATAATCTCACTTATTCTTTAGTGAGATTTAAGATTATAAGATGTTGTTCGGGCTAATGAGGCATACCACAACTCTCATTTTAATAATCCGAAGTATTTATTTTGTAAGATTGTTCATATATATATGAAAAAAATTAGATTAATCCGATAATCATAACTTATTTAATTTATCATATTTATCCAAAAAATATAGACAAGTATGTTTTTATAAATAAATTATTTATTTTTTGGGTAACAAATGTAACAAAATAAAGATACTACAATCATCACATCATATGATTTTTTTTTTTTATTAATGATATACCCAAGTATTATACAAAATTAATAATTTAAATTATCAAAATGAAATCTACCTCACAAATCGAGACAATATCTTCCAATCCAAAGCAAAGAAAAGCTAGACCCATATTTGAATAATTTAAACCCATCATATAAAACTACTAATTTTAGTTAAATTATTTCCTTCACATGCAATTATGATTGAATTGAGCTATATAAGCATGCTAATGACAGAATTAGGTCTTATTTTTTACCTATACATTTTAGTAAAAAAATCACTATAATTTATTATATCACTCTCTTTATTTTTTTACACATCTTTTTGTATAAAGTCAAAAAATTATTAAAATAGCATGTTCTTAAACGAGGCCTTAGTATAGTGAACTTGCAAAAAAAAGATAGGAAAAATTACCCCCAAAAAAAAAAAATCAGGTTATGACAGTTGTAACAAAACAAATTTTAAATTTTTGGTTTTGTCAATTTAATTTTTTTTTTCATTCTAAGTTATTTAACTATTTTAATTAAACTCAATGAAAAATAATATTTTAAATGTTTTATGCACGCATACATTTAATTTAATAATTAAAATATGATTTTTCTGCCAGTTTTACTTTACAAAATAGACAGAATGATCTAGATTGAAAATAAATCAAAATATTAAGAATTAAATTGACAAAATAAAATATATATTTTATTACATGGCTCAAATTATTTTATTTTTTTTTTAAAAAAAAATCCCCAACATGGAAATAGGGGTGTAAAAATGGCCTGAGGCTCGTGGGGCTGCCCGAAACCCACCTGAGGTGGGCCCCGCCCTGGTTAGGCCTGGACGCGAGCGCAGCCCAGTACCTTGGACTTGGGTCTGGGCGCTTCATTTGAAGCCCGGTCGAACCCATTAGTCCGGCTGGACCCGAAAATTTTCGGGCCATGCAAGCAACTCAACCCAACCCACCCGGCCATTTCTCTACCAAAGGCCAAATTTCAAAAAAATAAAATAAAAAGTAACTTGCAACGGTTAAATAGTTAAAAAAATATATAAATAAATAAAATAAATAAAAGATTGATCTTGCAAAAAACAAAATAACACAACAGTCAATGTCATTTCCTTGCAATGAATGAATAATATATATATATATATATATTTCAACCTTCTGCCCTTCTACCTCGCCCAACCTACTACCCTACCCCCAGGATCACATCATCACCCTTTCACTTTGTAATGAATAATAAATATAAATAAAAACAAAAAAAAAAAAACAAAAACGAAAAACAAAAAAATTCAAACGGTTCATCACTTGCTGCCCCTGTTGCCCTCTACTAGCTTACCCCTGTGCTATATGCGTGCATCACTCAACAAACTTTTCTTTCATTGAATGAAAAATAAAAAATAAAAAAATCAAACGGTGATCATAGGACACATATATATATATATATATATATATGTATATGTATATATTTTTATAAATTTGCTTCACTCTTTCAAACTAGTATAAATATCTTCCATTTTTCAGAATAAATCTCACAAATAATTCTCGCCCTCTTAAACTATCAATCTCTCTCAACTCTCAATTAATTTTGAAGTGTCATCCCCAAGTAACAATCGCAATTGTAAAACAAGAAATTTTTATCAGAAGAAGCTAATTTTCGTATCGCATTCGCCAGTCGGTAACATTAATTAAATTTATTAGCTACTCATTTTTTTCATTAATTATTTGTGTATATATATTAATTATTATTTTTTACTCATTGTATTTACATGTTATTTAAATTAATTGTTAATTCTTATATATTGTTTTATTTACATTAATATGGATCCTAATATTTCTAATGTTTATGTCAATGTTGATACATATACTACACACAACATGAATCTGTTGATTCTCTTTCTAATATCCATCTTCCAACAGTTGGATCATCATCTAGAGGCACAACTAGTACTGTTTGGAAACATTTTGAAAAAAATATCTATAAATAATCCTGATGGTACAATTACATTTAAAGCAAAATGTAAATATTGTGCACGTTTACTTAGTGTTGCATATGCAGGGAGTACTAGTCATCTAAAAAGGTATGCGAACAAACATTTACAAAATCAACAACCTGATATTTTAAGTCAAATGTAATTAGGAGCTTCATCAACTGGTAAATTGCAAATATTTTTATATGATCTTATACGTGCATACAATTCTGTAGTTGATTATATTATTAAAAAAAGAACAATCTTTTACTCCTAGTGAATGTCCTGATTTTATTAAAACTTCTGTACTTATAATAAAAAATGCAGTTGTTACTATTATGTCTTCTGCTAATCGAATTTCAGAATATAGAAAAATTTGTCAACGAGAAAATATGTCATTTAAAAAATTAATTTTAAATGTCGAAAGCAGGTGGAATTCAACTTATAATATATTAAAAATAGCTTGTAAACAAAGAAAAATAATAGATTTATTTTTTACAACAACATCAATAGAAGGAGTACTGACTCCCACAAAACTTAATTAACGCCAAGTAGTTCTTATATAAAGATTTTTTAATAGTTTTTGATATTTCAACAAAATTGTTTTCTTTTATATATATGTATATATATTCTTCCTTCATCATTTGTTTTACATATGATAGTAGAAATAATTAAAGTTTTCATAAAATATATGAGTGATAAATATTATGTAACCATTATTACTTTGCCTCATCTTTAGATTTAGCCATAATAATTGATTCTAGGTGTAAAGAAATTGATTTATAATAATTTTTAGAGCGTATTTTCGTTGATCAAACGCAGTTTGCCCCTATTATGCAAACATGCAACAGATTATTTGATAAATACAGGGCAACTGCATTTATAAATGCACATTTACACACATTACACTAGTAGTCTCATCTCGAGGCAGGAGATTAAGTATTTTTTGAGTAATAAAAAATAAAAGAATATCTCAACATACAAGCGTAAGTAGTTCTGAACTACAACGTTCTTTGAAAAGCCCGTTAGTGGATGATTCCGATGATTTTGGCATTTTGAAATGCATGAAACAAAATGAAATTATGTGGCCTGTGGTTTCATGGATGGCCCGTGATATACTAATCGTTCCTATTTCTACAGTTGCTCCGGGAATAACTTTTAGTATAGGTGGACGGGTGTTGAATGATTACCGGAGCAGGCTTTCATGGTTGAGGCACTGATGATATCTAGAAATCATATGTATGGGCTTACAAGAAGACAAAATTATAGTGAAAAGAAGCGAATTCAAAATGATTTTGATGACATATCCTCGGGTAATGCGACTGAAATGTCTGTTTTCTCTGATGATTGATCAACAATTTGTTTTTTACTATTTCATTTTATTTCTTTTTTTTTTCTTTCTTTCTTTGTTTTTTTTTTCTTTTTAGATTATTGAGGTGAAGTATAATGCAAATTATTAGTAGGCTAGTAGGTGCCAACATAGTTGGGATGTACTTGACCTATAGTGATGTAATTGCTCTACCATCATTAATAATCTACACCTATTTTATTTAATAATATAAATTTTTGTAATATTTTATTTCATTTTGAAATAAAAATTATTCATTCAATAAATATTATATAATTAATTTAATATTGTAATATTGAAAGTTCCATTTTCATATATATAAAATTATTCATTCGAAAAAAAAAAATACATAATTACATACTTTTTTAATTATAAGTTCATAATTAAAAATACATAAGTTATACATAATTAAATTAAATACTACCATGAAACATAACCAAACAAAACATATCATTAATCTTAACTAAAATGCTCTAATATAATTTTTCTTTTATTTTTTTTCTTAATAAATAATCTGCATAGATAATATATTTAACGTTTATTTTTCAAAAAAAAAAAAAAGCCGACTAGTCTCAACCCGTGACCCTATTATTAGTAGGCCTGGGCTTGGGCCTGACCCCATTTTTTGGCCCATGGCCCAGCCTGCTAAAAACGAGAGACCGCGAGGCCCGTTTGGGCCGACCCGGGCCATTAACACATCTGCACATGTAAAGAGTTTTGGAAATGGTTTGCATTAGAGCCCAAGATCCAGCCCAATAAACAGCCCAAACTCTATCCAAGTGACCCACAATCAACTGAGCAACCCAGAATAGGTCAGGAGGAGGAGGAACTCTGCCAAAAACAAAAATCTATGGCGGCAAAATAAGCAAAAACAGCCCGAGAGAGACGAAGAAGAGTTCGAAAACACACGTTACAAAGGTACAAAATAGCCCTCGTACACACATTTGTTGTAATGGACTCGAATTTGAATTGCGATGCTTTGATTTGTGTGTTTCAGGTTGTGTTGTTCAGTTAATCAGACTGTGTTATTAGGAGTTCCGGTGTTTATTGATTTTTGGTATGTTTGAAAAAGTTGTACTTCTAAACTATAATAATGTCTACTAAGATTAAACTCCATAAGAAAGTGAAACTTGGTACTGCTAGTTCAAAGAGCTCTAAGGATGGTGGTGAAACCTTAGATTTCAAGAAAAAGGGTTTTCGTGGAAATAGAAATGCTCAATTTAGTATGGATGATGTTGTTGTTGATGTTCCTTACGGTGATAATAAGAGGTATAAGAAAGAGAATGGTGGAAGGAGCAATGTAAGATCAAAGAGACCTAAGGATGATGGTGAAACCCTGGAGTTCAAGAAGAAGGGTTTTCGTGGAAATAAAAATGCTCAATTTAGTATGGAGGATTCTGTTGATATTCGTTACGGTGATAATAAGCTGTATAGGAAAGAGAATGGGGGAAGGAGCAATGTAAGATCGAAGACAAATAGTAAATCGGTTTATGAGCGGAAATTTGATGGCGATAGGGGGTTTAAACCGATAAATGATGATCGCAAAAGGAAGAGAGTCTATGCTGATCGTGATAACAGCAAAAATGTTGAGACACCCTCTAGAAAAGTTTTATCTAAGAGGTGGAATGAGCTCAAGGATGGTCTTGCTAAACGAAAACGCACCACGAGAGGAAAATCTCATGATTTTGAGCAACCTGAGAAGGTAAAATTCTTGAAAGGTGAAAGAAAATTTCGTGAAACCGAGTCACTTGATAGCAATGGTGGCAAGAATTTGAGACTGAACGCTGTGGATAAAATGGATCGTGGGGGAAATAGTTTGATGAAGACAGATGCCAAAAATAAATTTGAGTCAAGGAAGCAATTGGAGCAGAATCATGATGGTCGTGCAGCTGAACCTCTTGGGAAGTTTGTGAAGAAAAAAGTTCATGACAAGAAAAGTGTGGGTGATGATTTGGCAGGAAATGTTGATCGGCGAAAGAAAAGGAAGCCAGCAATCCGGATAGATCCACATGATATCTCAAATAAGCGGTTAGACGATGGAATAGCCACCATTGGTCAGTAATTCGATGGAGTAGTTTGGTTTTTGTGTATATTCTGCCTTTCCCACCATCTATCATATATATATTGCAGCATTTAAATCTGTTAGAATGGTTTACTTGGCATGTGTTCCTCCCCCATTTCTTCTTTCCTTGATTTCTCTATAAAGTTTTTTTTCTACCTCATTTAACAACCATGCCTCAATGGAATAGAAGATTTCGGCACTTGTTAAAGAATTTTTGTTATTCTTTTCAAGTATGCATATAGTAATATTTGGAGCGCATGAGTTGAGTGGAAATACTTTGTGTTAGGAATTTCTTTGGACAAACTCACAGGCTACTTATGATTCTCTCATTATGCACTTTGTCTCTCTGCTGCTAGTTTTGGTATTCTGGCAATGTAGAAGTGATGCCATTATGCTTAGCTAGTGATTTTGTCTGACTCTCTTTATGAGATTAGTAAAATATCTTTCTTTCTTTTTTGTTTTTTTGTTTTTTCTCTTTTCCTTGGACATATCTTAGAGAAATCAAAATCCATGTAAAAGAAGAATGCCTGCTGCCTTTTTTATTTATTTATTTTTTTAGTCTTGAAAACCCATGCAAATGTTGGCCATGAAACTAATTCCATTCCTAAATCAATTTATCCCCTTTAATACTATCTCGTCATTACATAAACAAGTGACTTCTTCTTCCAGTTGATGACATTCTTTCACCATTGATAGTCACTCTTCCTATAATTATCTGATGGACCTATAATCAGACATGACACAGAAGATGGTGTGTAATGTAACAGTCTTACATTATTGGATAGTTTTAATTACTTAAATATCTCTCTAATTCTTTCCCCTATAACGTTTGATTTCCAGCCGTCCCCTTCATATGAATACTAGATGTTACAAATTATTGCTTAACTACATGGCTTATATGTGTCGCTCTTATATAAGATTTACTGCAACTTGGTTTCTATATCTATTTGAGTTTGTTCATTTTTGTCGTTTCCTGAAATTTTTTAATAAAGCAGGTGGTCGCTTTCTTACAGCCTTTTGTTACATGTTTTCCAGGACATAACATAGAGAAGAAAGAAGATGAGGAGAAAAATACAAGTGTTGAAATGTCAAAGAATGCAGAGTTTCGTGCCATAAAACCTAGCCCTTCTATACTTTTCTTTGTGGAAGATAATGTAATTTGTCTTAGCAGCGCCTTTTCACTTTTCAGCTACATGTTTGTCTATAACATCTTTTGTTATTCTTTTGTTTGTTTTTTTTTTCTTTTTTGTAATTCTGATTCTTGGCTATTCCATCTGCAGTTCTTGGGCCGTAGGCGTTTGATTGAGTTACGAAGGGCAGGGTACAACACTGAGCTTTCTGCCCCTTTAGATAACATCCCCTCCTCTACAAGTGCAGAAAGAGAGCGAATTGAAGAATCGGTATTTTATGTGTTATGCATGTTCAGAAGATTTGTTTACCATTTATAATATTTTTTACCTATATTGATTAGTAACCATGGTTATTAGAATCATATGATTCATGATTCAATACAATTTTCAACCAAAATGATTTGAATCGGTTGTTGAATCAGAAATTTTAGTTAAACATGCGATTCATTGTGATTCAGTATGGTTTATTACGATTTACTGCAATTAAGTTACATATATTTTTGTTTACATGATGCGGGAATGACATCATATTAACCTCTCTATCAAGAAATAAAAAAGGACCAATTAGTTTTATTGATATATAGTTTTATATGTATATAAATATATAATTTAGTTATATTGATATTTACTTCATTTTAAGCACTATGTTTATTTTTATATCAAAAACATTATAAATTATATATTATATTAAGTCACGTGAATCATATGATTCACCGTAATCACGATTCACTACTTAAGCAAAATGATTCACAAGTTGATTCGCGATTTGATAACAATGTTAGTAACTTAACCAGTGACTAGTTCAAAAGGAATTGCTCAATGCATTGAAATTTTGGACATAATTTTCATGTCGTGTTCAAATCTTAGTTTTAAATTGAACTTGTACACTGATAGCATGACCTTTTTTTTTCTGCTTGCTTACCAGGCATGTATAGGTTTTTAATACTATTTGATGTATGACACCATTCTTTTTTACAGTAAAATGTATTTCAGTTTCTATTATAGGCTGCTTAGGGTATAGGACTTGCTCATGATAAGAAATAGTTGGAAAATGTTAACTATTTACATCTCATTTGACTACTATGTTGTGATATGTATGTAACAGAGCAAGTGTGGTACCAAGCTTTTGTGATGCAATTATTAACTTTTTGCACAGTTGGCCCCAATTTGTTGAATATCCTTTTCGTTAAAATGCACAGTAATGTGGTCATTCTTCCTAGGATTTGAACTAGTTCATCACTTTTGATAGCCGAGAATGGTTTCTAGTGAGGAAAACATAGTCTAAAACTTGAAACTTTTCACCTTGAAGCCTGAATTACTTACTTCCTTAGCTGACTGCTCCCATTTTGCTCCTGTCAATTTGGGATTCTGGGAGTAAACTGCTGGCAAAGGTGGCTTCCATTCTCATACCATAGTTACTAGAAAACATTAATATCGACACTTAATTTCCTCCACATAAAGACCTGAGTCGTAGCTCAAGTGATTGATAAGTGCTGGAAATTTGTGTTAATGTATATAATAAGATAGTGGCATGTATATAAAGCTGATGTGCTAACGAAGGGACTACACAAGAAGCAATTTGATAAGCTGACTAGCAAGCTGGCTATGGAAGATATCTTCAAACCAGCTTGAGGGGGAGTGCTGGAAATTTGTATTAATGTATATAATAAGATAGTGGCATGTATATAATATGATAGTGGTGTTGGTGGAAGATAGTGGCATGTATAGAATATGATAGTGGTGTTGGTGGAAGATAGTGGCATATATATAATATGATAGTGGTAGATAGTGGTAATATATAATATGTAAGTGGCATATAATGGGTTATAATGATGTTTGTAATATCTCCTATATAAGGAGTGTCATTTGGTCTTGTAAGATAAGAAGTTTTGAATATAACAGAAATATATTCCTTCTTCCTCATATTTTCGGAGTTCTTCTTCCTCATATTTTCTAAGTATAAGGTTTTAAAAAGCGGCTGCAACTGTTACGTAACGTCGTTACGTAACAGTTGTGGTGGTTACCACCACCCATTACAGCCGCTATAGTGGCATGACGGAAATTCACATGTGTAACGGCTGTTTTGGTGTTACATAACGGCTGTAGCAGTACCGTAACGGTCCGTTAGACACCGTTGCACCCACGGTTTCAAAATGCAGTGTTACGTAACGGTTGCGGCGATAGGCACCATGCCTTGCCTCCGCTTTTGCAGCGTGATTGAGATTCACAGGTGTGTCGGCTGTAGCGGTAGTAACGGTACCGTAACGGCCCGTTACGCACCATTACATAACAATTTTGGACTACTTTTGAAAAAAAAAAAAATTTGAAAAATGGAAGAAGGATACAGAGAGAAGAGGGAAGAGTAAGAGATTGAGAGAGAAGAGGAAAGATGAACATGTTATTGATTTGTTGAAGCTGTAAGACCTATGTTATTCTATTCGGCTGCTATCACTCAACCATTTTATTTGTGTGTATATTTACATATTGTTTGAAAATAATAATAATAATAATAATAAGTGTGGTCATTATCTATTTGGCTTTATTAATATATATATATATATGCTCTTATTTATTCTCTTACTTTTGTCATTATTTATCTTATATATAATAGTTAGTGATTGATTGTTTTGTAAAATATCTAGAAAACATAACCCTTATAAATATATATTAATACATATTTTATACATGTCAATTTTTTTTGATTAGTTTATTTTATTTTTATTTATAGGTTATCTAAAAAGAGAATGAATATTCAAGTGATCCAAACCAAAAAAAAAAAAAATCTTTATAATTTATTTTTTAATTTTTATATGATTACATTAGCATGTATAATTTATTTTTTAAAACTATTCAAGTTAAAATTTGCATATGCTTCCACAAGTATAATAATTAAAAAAATAATTTTATACATTTAAGTCCAATAAAAAAAAAATTTGCCACAAGCGTAATATGGATTTATGACATATAAAGTCATTAATTATTAAAATAAAATATAAAAAACTCGGTTTATAGTGATTTAAAAATATAAAATATATTGGATCATACTTTAAAATTTACAACAATTGATCAATATTTATTTTAAAACCCAATAAATATGATTATGGAGAAAAAATGTGTGTCGGTAAGTTTTTTTCAAATTGTATGAAAAATAAAAAAATTCACAGTTCCGGTTACCGCAACCGTTATGCTACAGCCTTTACACCCCGCAACCGCAACCGCAACCGCAACCGCGCCACCGTTATCGTTACGGCGACCGCATCCACTTTTCAGAACTTTGACTAACCTATTAACATCCCTACTGTGTGGCACATCAGTGTTGTGAAAAGTGCGCCTAGGTGTGTGCCTAGGCGCAAGGCGCATCGAGTCGCAGCCTGTGCGCCTGAACTGGTACCAGGCGAGGCGCGTTGAAGAAGTCGCGCGCCTGGAAGCAGGCGAGAGAGGTGCAAGGCACGCGCCTAGGTGCGATTGATGGTTTACGCCCTAATTTTGATCTAACGACTGTGGTGGTGTGTGTTCGAATGGCTCTAACCACAGAGGATTACAACTTATATACAATACGACTTCGACTGAAACGAAATCCCTAATCTATGTCGACTTCGATTCGACTTCAAAACGAAATACGACTTCCTCTCTCGACTTCGATTCGACTTCGACTTTGCGCTACGACTTCCAGGTGTGTGTTCGAATCCCTAATCTGTGTCGTCTATTTTTTTATTTTTTTTTCTTTCTTTTCTCTTTCGGTTTCTTATTCTTCGACTTCGACTTCCAGATGTGTGTTGTGTTTTTTTTTTTTTTTTATCTGGCTTCTTCGACTTCCATAATCTCTTTCCTTCTTCTTCTTTTTCTCTCCTTCTTCTTCTGTCTTCTTCGCTGATTCAGTCTGCTCTGCTTTGTTCTGTTTTTTTTTTTTTTTCAATTATGGCTTTGAGTCTCTGTTAAAAATAATAATAAATAAATAAATAGAATAATTTAAACAAAAAAAAAAAAAACAGATTACATTAATTAGAATAATTTTTAAAAAAATCGAATAATTTCAATTATGCCTTTGGTCTCTGTTTACATTACATTATTTTCTAAATTGACGCATTACATTACATTACACTCACTGAGTGTAATTTTCCATTACATTATTTTCCATTACATTGTATTAATTAATTTTCCATTAATTAATACACTATATGTGCTAATGTGTAATTTTCCATAACACATTATTTTCCATTTCATTACACAATTAATCACACTTATATTACACTGAAATTATTTTTCATTTATTAAATTCGTTGTGTAGAAAATGACATCGGAAAGTAATAGAAAAGATCCGGCATGGCAACATGCCCATTTGGTAAAGGAGAATAATTTAAACAAGTTTGAGTGTAATTTTTGTGGTAAAGTATCAAATGAAGGTGTTTATCGGGTGAAACAACACCTCGCGGGAGATTATAGGAGTGTCACTGCTTGCCCGAAGTGTCCAGCTCATGTAAGAGAAGAGATTAGAGAGTTCATGTCAAAAAAGAAGACACAAAAAGAAGAAATGAACATGTTGCCTGATTTTTATGATATGGACATGGAAGATGAAGATGAAGATAAAGATGATGATGTTGTTGAGATCAATGTCAATCAACGCCGGAAGTTGACAAGTAGTAGCCAAGGTTCATCCAAATCCAAAACCAATTTAAAAATGCCAAAGAGAAAAGGGCTTATGGATGTTTACTTCACACCCAATCTTGAATCAGTGGTGAAAAATCGAAGAGACCAAGCAAAAGGGAAGCAAACCAAAATTGATGCGAATGACCCTTACAAAAAATAAATGAGAGCTCAGGCAGTGCAAAGATTTGCAAGGTGGATGTATGATGCTGGTGTCCCTTTTAATGCAGTAAATTATGAGAGTTTTGGACAAATGATTGAAGCCGTTGGGCAATATGGTCCCGGTATGAAGCCACCAACTTACCATGAAGTGCGGGTTACCCAACTCAAAAAAGAGGTGAAACATGCTGAAGATTTGATGAAGAATCATAAAGAAGATTGAGCAAAATACGGGTGTTTCATAATGGCTGATGGCTAGACTGACAAGAGAGGAAAGACATTGATTAACTTTTTAGTTAATTGTCCAAGAGGAACCATGTTTGTTGAGTCGGTTGATTCTTCTAGCTATTCAAAGGATGAGCAGAAGCTATTTGAATTACTAGACAAGTTTGTGGAGAAAGTTGGAAAAGATAATGTGGTGCAAGTTATCACTGATAGTGCTGCAGCTAATGTGTTGGCGGGTAAGAATATTTCCTCCTTCCTTATGTCAAATTTTTTTACTCGTAGTTTGTTTTGTATTTAAAATTTAAAAACTAAAAAATGATAATTTTTCGTAATTGTTACATTATAGGGAGTTTTTTGGAAGCCAAGTATGAACATTTGTATTGGACACCATGTGCCGCTCATTACTTGTACTTGATGTTAGAAGACATTTTCAAAATACCTAGACTAAAAAAGACATTTGAAAGGGGTATTGCAGTACGTGGCTACATTTACAACCGGCCTACGTTGCTAAACATGATGAGGTGCTATACAAATCTGAAGAATTTGATCAAGCCTGCAAAAACTAGATTTGCAACCGCCTTTCTGACTTTGTCTAGGATGCATCAACAAAGAAACAATTTGAGAAAGATGGTGACCTTCGAAGACTGGACCTCAAGCAAATGGGTAAAGGAGCCACAAGGTAAAAGAATGGCACAAACTTTGTTGATGCCTTCATTTTGGAATACTGTTGTGTTTGCTCTTAAGGTCTCGAGTCCTCTCATCAAAGTGCCTAGATTGGTTGATACCGAGAAGAAACCTCCCATGGGATACATTTATGAGGCAATGGATAGGGCAAAAGAATGCATTGCAAGTTCATTTGATCATAAAGAAGAGAAGTATAATGAAATCTTCGAAATCATCGACAAAAGATGGGATGTCTAATTGCATCGGCCTTTACATGCAACTGTGCATTTTCTTAACCCAGAATTCTTTTACCCAAAAGCGTTGGAGGTGCGAAAAGATCATGAAGTGATGAATGGGTTTTATGAATGCATGCAAAAGCTGGTCCCGGATGTCACTGTTCAAGATTTGATCACTAATGAGATGAGTATTTATATGAAGGCTGAGAGTCTTTTTGGCAAGTCTGTTGCGATTAGGCAAAGAAATACAAGGGCACTAGGTAATATATTATAGACTCATAGAGTTTATTTTTAGTATTACTTTTAGTAAAATTCAATACTTGGTAGCAATTATTTCTAACTAGTGGATTATCGCAGCTGATTGGTGGGCATCATATGGTTCTAAAACTCCAAACTTGCAAACTTTTGCCATAAAAGTCCTTAGCCTAACATGTAGTTCATCGGGTTGTGAACGAAATTGGAGTGTATTTGAACATGTGAGTATTTAACATTCTAACTAATTTTTTGTTGAATTCAAATATTTTTTATTCCCATTATATAGAATTTAATATCTTTTTAATACTTATAGCTTCATAGCAAAAAAAGAAATAGATTGGAGCAACGTCGTCTCAATGATTTAGTATTTGTCAAATATAATAGAACATTGAGATTTAGGTATGACATGCGCAACACTCTTGATCCCATATCTTTGCAAAATATTGATGAAAGCAATGAGTGGTTGCTTGGGAGGATGGATGGAGAATCAGATGAAGATAATGAGCCTGTGTTTAATGATGATGATGGCTTGACGTGGGCCACTGTTGCTAGAGCTTCTGGAGTAGAAGAAAGTAGCCATGCAAGTAGAGCAACAAGTTCACGCTCAAAGGCACAACCGAGGATATCTAAATCATCAATCTCTCAGCGCACAGCTTACCAGGCATGTATAGGTTTTTAATACTATTTGATGTATGACACCATTCTTTTTTACAGTAAAATGTATTTCAGTTTCTATTATAGGCTGCTTAGGGTATAGGACTTGCTCATGATAAGATATAGTTGGAAAATGTTAACTATTTACATCTCATTTGACTAATATATTGTGATATGTATGTAACAGAGCAAGTGTGGTACCAAGCTTTTGTGATGCAATTATTAACTTTTTGCACAGTTGGCCCCAATTTGTTGAATATCCTTTTCGTTAAAATGCACAGTAATGTGGTCATTCTTCCTAGGATTTGAACTAGTTCATCCCTTTTGATAGCTGAGAATGGTTTCTAGTGAGGAAAACATTGTCTAAAACTTGAAACTGTTCACCTTGAAGCCTGAATTACTTACTTCCTTAGATGACTGCTCCCATTTTGCTCCTGTCAATTTGGGATTCTGGGAGTAAACTGCTGGCAAAGGTGGCTTCCATTCTCATACCATAGTTACTAGAAAACATTAATATCGACACTTAATTTCCTCCACATAAAGACCTGAGTTGTAGCTCAAGTGATTGATAAGGTTTTAAAAAGCGGCCGCAACTGTTACATAACCCCGTTACGTAACAGTTGTGGTGGTTACCACCACCCATTACAGCCGCTATAGTGGCATGACGGAAATTCACATGTGTAACGGCTGTTTTGGTGTTACATAACGGCTGTAGCAGTACCGTAACGGTCCGTTAGATACCGTTGCACCCACGGTTTCAAAATGCAGTGTTACGTAACGGTTGCGGCGATAGGCACCATGCGTTGCCTCCGCTTTTGCGGCGTGATTGAGATTCACAGGTGTGTCGGCCGTAGCAGTAGTAACAGTACCGTAACGGCCCGTTACGCACCATTACATAACAATTTTGAACTACTTCTTTTGAAAAAAAAAAAAAAATTTGAAAAATGGAAGAAGGATACAGAGAGAAGAGGGAAGAGTAAGAGATTGAGAGAGAAGAGGGAAGATGAAGAACATGTTATTGATTTGTTAAAGCTGTAAGACCTATGTTATTCTATTCGGCTGCTATCACTCAACCATTTTGTTGGTGTGTCTATTTACATATTGTTTGAAAGTAATAATAATAATAATAATAATAAGTATGGTCATTATCTATTTGGCTTTATTAATATATATATATATGCTCTTATTTATTCTCTTACTTTTGTCATTATTTATCTTATATATAATAGTTAGTGATTGATTTTTTTATAAAATATCTAGAAAACATAACCCCTATAAATATATATTAATACATATTTTATACATGTCAATTTTTTTTGATTAGTTTATTTTATTTTTATTTATAGGTTATCTAAAAAGAGAATGAATATTCAAGTGATCCAAACCAAAAAAAAAAAAAATCTTTATAATTTATTTTTTAATTTTTATATGATTACATTAGCATGTATAATTTATTTTTTAAAACTATTCAAGTTAAAATTTGCATATGCTTCCACAAGTATAATAATTAAAAAAATAATTTTATACATCTAAGTCCAATAAAAAAATTTTTTTGCCACAAGCATAATATGGATTTATGACATATAAAGTCATTAATTATTAAAATAAAATATAAAAAACTCGGTTTATAGTGATTTAAAAATATAAAATATATTGGATCATACTTTAAAATTTACAAAAATTGATCAATATTTATTTTAAAGCCCAATAAATATGATTATGGGGAAAAAATGTGTATTGGTAAGTTTTTTTCAAATTGTATGAAAAATAAAAAAATTCACAGTTTCGGTTACCGCAACCGTTATGCTACAGCCTTTACACCCCGCAACCGCAGCCGGGCCACCGTTATCGTTACGACGACCGCATCCACTTTTCAGAACTTTGACTAACCTATTAACATTCCTACTGTGTGGCACATCAGTGTTGTGAAAAGTGCGCCTAGGTGTGTGCCTAGGTGCAAGGCGCATCGAGTCGCGGCCTGTGCGCCTGAACTGGTACCAGGCGAGGCGCGTTGAAGAAGTCGCGCTCCTGGAAGCAGGCGAGAGAGGCGCAAGGCACGCGCCTAGGCGCGATTGATGGTTTACGCCCTAATTTTGATCTAACAACTGTGGTGGTGTGTGTTCGAATGGCTCTAACCACAGAGGATTACAACTTATATACAATACGACTTCGACTGAAACGAAATACGACTGAAACAAAATCCCTAATCTATGTCGACTTCGATTCGACTTCGAAACGAAATACGACTTCCTCTCTCGACTTCGATTCGACTTCGACTTTGTCTTCTAGGTGCGCTACGACTTCCAGGTGTGTGTTCGAATCCCTAATCTGCGTCGTCTATTTTTTTATTTTTTTTTCTTTCTTTTCTCTTTCGGCTTCTTATTCTTATTCTTCGACTTCGACTTCGACTTTCGGGTGTGTGTGTGTGTGTGTGTTTTTTTTTTTTTTTTTTAACCCAGAACAAACAATATTTATGAAAATCACTCAAAACAAACAATTTTGCTTATAAAGAGCATCTAAATATGAATTATTGAAAGACAATGCAAAAGGCACAAGCACATGCTATGAAGATTTAGAGGACTTTCCCAGATGCCCACTTTACATGTCTTACATAAACCAAATCAAACAAAACCAAATCAACCCTTAAATCCCATCAAATGGGGTCGATTTACGCGTCTTACATGCAATAAATAAAATAAATATGACCTAAATATGCAACTAATCATACAAAACATGAACCTAGGCTCGGTTTAAGGCTACTAATGATATTTATGCACGAAAAACAAATAACAAACAAAGAAAAAGAGAAGTAATGATACAAACTATCTATATAATGATTCAAACCGAGCCTAACACATGGATTCTACATGATTAAATGAACCTAAACATGTTGTTCCAATAAAAATAAAAGAAACATGGTGAAAAAGACAACAACAACAACAACAACCAAAAAAAAAAAAGAGTCTAAATATGCAAGCTACATGGCATATGAGTGCACTATTGAAAACCCTAAACATGGTTTACTATTGAAAACATAAATAAAAGAGGTACTAAAATAATAAAAGATGAGAGAATTACCTTGTTTTGAAGCAAACTCAAGAAAAGGCTAGAAAACCTTGTTTTTTTTACTTTCAAACCTCTCTCAAGCTTGGGTTCCAATTAGAGTTCGAGTTCTTCAAGCCTTAGGATGTTTTAAGAAGTTCATGGACATGGAAGATGAAGATGAAGATAAAGATGATGATGTTGTTGAGATCAATGTCAATCAACGCCGGAAGTTGACAAGTAGTAGCCAAGGTTCATCCAAATCCAAAACCAATTTAAAAATGCCAAAGAAAAAAGGGCCTATGGATGTTTACTCCACACCCAATCCAGAATCAGTGGTGAAAAATCGAAGAGACCAAGCAAAAGGGAAGCAAACCAAAATTGATGTGAATGACCCTTACAAAAAAGAAATGAGAGCTCGGGCAGTGCAAAGATTTGCAAGGTGGATGTATGATGCTGGTGTCCCTTTTAATGCAGTAAATTATGAGAGTTTTGGACAAATGATTGAAGCCATTGGGCAATATGGTCCCGGTATGAAGCCACCAACTTATCATGAAGTGCGGGTTACCCAACTCAAAAAAGAGGTGAAACATGCTGAAGATTTGATGAAGAATCATAAAGAAGATTGTGCAAAATACGGGTGTTCCATAATGGCTGATGGCTGGACTGACAAGAGAGGAAGGACATTGATTAACTTTTTAGTTAATTGTCCAAGAGGAACCATGTTTGTTGAGTCGGTTGATGCTTCTAGCTATTCAAAGGATGAGCAGAAGCTATTTGAATTACTAGATAAGTTTGTGGAGAAAGTTGGAAAAGATAATGTGGTGCAAGTTATCACTGATAGTGCTGCAGCTAATGTGTTGGCGGGTAAGAATATTTCCTCCTTCCTTATGTCAAATTTTTTTACTCGTAGTTTGTTTTGTATTTAAAATTTAAAAACTTAAAAATAATAATTTTTCGTAATTGTTACATTATGGGGAGGTTTTTGGAAGCCAAGTATGAACATTTGTATTGGACACCATGTGCTGCTCATTGCTTGGAGTTGATGTTAGAAGACATTTTCAAAATACCTAGACTAAAAAAGACATTTGAAAGAGGTATTGCAGTACGTGGCTACATTTACAACCGGCGTATGTTGCTAAACATGATGAGGTGCTATACAAATCTGAAGAATTTGATCAAGCCTGCAAAAACTAGATTTGCAACCGCCTTTCTGACTTTGTCTAGGATGCATCAACAAAAAAACAATTGAGAAAGATGGTCACCTTCGAAGACTAGACCTCAAGCAAATGGGTAAAGGAACCACAAGGTAAAAAAATGGCACAAACTTTGTTGATGCCTTCATTTTGGAATACTGTTGTGTTTGCCCTTAAGGTCTCGGGTCCTCTCATCAAAGTACTTAGATTGGTTGATACCGAGAAGAAACCTCCCATGGGATACATTTATGAGGCAATGGATAGGGCAAAAGAATGCATTGCAAGTTCATTTGATCATAAAGAAGAGAAGTATAATGAAATCTTCGAAATCATCGACAAAAGATGGGATGTCCAATTGCATCGGCCTTTACATGCAACTACGCATTTTCTTAACCTAGAATTTTTTTACCCAAAAGCGTTGGAGGTGCGAAAAGATCATGAAGTGATGAATGGGTTTTATGAATGCATGCAAAGGTTGGTTCCGGATGTCACTGTTCAAGATTTGATCACTAATGAGATGAGTATTTATATGAAGGCTGAGAGTCTTTTTGGCAAGTCTGTTGCGATTAGGCAAAGAAATACAAGAGCACCAGGTAATATATTATAGACTCATAGAGTTTATTTTTAGTAATACTTTTAGTAAAACTCAATACTTGGTAACAATTATTTCTAACTAGTGGATTATCGCAGCTGATTGGTGGGCATCATATGGTTCTTATACTCCAAACTTGCAAACTTTTGCCATAAAAATCCTTAGCCTAACATGTAGTTCATCGGGTTGTGAACGAAATTGGAGTGTATTCGAACATGTGAGTATTTAACATTCTAACTAATTTTTTGTTCAATTCAAATATTTTTTATTCTCATTATATAGAATTTAAAATCTTTTTAATACTTGCAACTTCATAACAAGAAAATAAATAGATTGGAATAACATCTCAATGATTTAGTGTTTGTCAAATATAATAGAACATTGAGATTTAGGTATGACATGCGCAACACTCTTGATCCCATATCTTTGCAAAATATTGATGAAAGCAATGAGTGGTTGCTTGGAAGGATGGATGGAGAATCAGATGAAGATAATGAGCCTGTGTTTGATGATGATGATGGCTTGACATGGGCCACTGTTACTAGAGCTTCTGGAGTAGAAGAAAGTAGCCATGCAAGTAGAGCAACAAGTTCACGCTCAAAGGCACAACCGAGGATATCTAAATCATCAACATTGACTCCACTTCAATTAATAGATGAAGAGGAAGCGGGCTCAGATGACACAGAGGAGGAAGATGTTGAGGGATACAAATCAACTGATGGAGAAGAAGATGATAGTTTGCTTGCCATTGATGTTGAGGATAATGATTGACTGACACCGACCTAACCTACCCTTTCTTTTGATATTGATGTTTTCAAGTGTTAAGACATATATTAGTATTTGTTGGATATTTATGTTTTAGATGTTTAGTGTTTATGTTTTTATTTTATTGAATGTGGATTATTTGATCTTTGAAAATTGAAATGTTATGTAATATGCACTTTCATGACTTTGAGAATTATTCTATATTTTGTCTTGAATCTTGATTACTTTTTATTTTTTAAAAAATTGCCTTAGTACTATGAATGATTAGTTTATGTTAATTTTTCTATTTTTTACTAAGATTGTGCGCCTTACTTCAATAAAGCCCGCACCTTGCCTTACGCCTTGCACCTAGGCCCCGAGAGACCTTCAGCGCCTTAGTGCGCCTTGAGCCTTTAAAACACTATGGCACATAAAAATGAAAAAAAAATGTCAATGTGTCTCTCCCTAAGACAACTTCGTAAAATAACATATTAAGTTCACATGTGCCACACGAACTACGATGATAAAAAGGATCAAAGGAGATATAGTCTAGTTGAATTTTGATTTTTTTTTTTTTTTGAAATTTTTTTGCTACATTGAGGTTGTGTTTAAATTAAGAATTTGAGAGGAAATTGTTGATGACGAGGGAAAAAAAAAATTTAAAAAAAGGGGAAATTACAAAAAAACCCCCCAAGGTTTAGCTTGTTTTTTACATTAAACCCTAACATTTTAATTTTAACAATTTAAACCCTGAATTTTTAACCGTGTCCTAATGTTGACCCTCCGTCTGTTTTCGTTTGTTTGTGTTTGTTTGTGTTAAGTTTTTACACTTATTTGATACACGTGTCCCCTTTTGATTTGTTCATAATTATTACAATTATTTTATTTCTATCAGTTCTCTCTCTCTCTCTCTCTCTCTCTCTCTTCAAAATCAATCCAAACGAGGTTTTAGTACATCGATCCTCGCTAGCATAGAGCAAAGCAGTTGTGTCGACCACAATCGAGATCTCATCTAACACAAGCCCCATTTACACTAATGGGTAAATCTTCTTTTCTAAGCATCTTCTTCAATCTCTCTCTCACATATTCACACACATATATAGATACAGCTGTGATGTTTGTATATATATATTTTTGTATAAATTAGGGTTTGGATATCTGTGTGCAGTGTGAATGGCTGGAGGTGGCGCAGTTGCGAAGGCGAGCTCCAGCGTCCACGTTGGTGTTCGCATTGTCGTCACTGGCGAACGCGGCACCAGCAAATCGAGCTTGATTGTCACTGTCGCCGCCAACATTCTCAGATTTTCGGCGCCGCAACCGTCAGAACCACCCACCGACCTCCCCCCACATAACCCACATCCCCATTTCAAGCTCATCCCACCCATCCTGGCCGGAGCCCTCACCATCGCCTGTCTCTTCTTCCTCGCCATTCTCTACCGGAAACTCTCCCGGAAACACACAGCTCCGGCAGATAGAAAAGAGAGACCCAACGGTGAATGGATAGCAACGCCGGGCTCAATAAAAGATGGTGGTGGTGGAACAAGGAAGGGTATTGCTCAAATCCATCGCCCTCCGCCCTCAAATCTGTCGTTGCCCTCACCGTTTCACTCGAATTCGTTAGAAATGGATTTGCAAAGAGTGAATATAAGAAAGAGTGAATATATATATATGTAATGTGTGTGTATGTATAGGTTAGATATGGATTTGCACAGAGAGAGAGAGAGAGTAAGGACGAATCAAATAAGAGGGAGAGAGAGAGAGAGAGCTGATAGAAAAAAAAAAAGAAAGTAATTTAGAAATAAAATAATTATAATAATTATGGACAAATCAAAAAGTGACACGTGTATCAAATAAGTGTAAAAAGCTAACAGAAATAAACGGAAACGAACGGAGGGTCAACATTGGGACACAGTTAAGAATTTAGGGTTTAATTTGTTAAAATTAAAATGTCGGGGTTTAATGTGAAAAACACGTTATACCCTGGGGTTTTTTTTGTAATTTCCCCTAAAAAAAAAAAATCACTAATTAGTTTTGAAACACATTTTCCAAGACATGGTAGCTGTGTTATTGAAGGCAAGAGACTCATCGAGGCGCCAAGTTCTCTTGGGGCCTAGGTGCTGCGCTTTAACCATTCATGGCCTAAAAAAGATTCAATAGGTCACTTATCTTGCAATATTTTTGTATGGATTTTTCCATAATTTTATGTGATGTGATAAAAAGTATATCCTGTCTTACCCTAGTGATATATTGATGAATCTACCTGACGCATGTAAGCCACAAATTTGTATGAACTGCCCTATCATCTCCTGTTCAACTGCCCTTTCATCTACTTTTCATTTTGTAAATAATGTTTCTGATCCCGTGTTAATGTCTATGACAGATATTTAGAAATAAAATGACATTTTTTGCTGCTGCGAACGTTTCTTCATCATTCCTACCTCCAGAGCTTCCTGAGATTGCATTTGCAGGTATTTCTTTCAAATAGTTCCCTCATGGTATATGCTATTTTAATTTTTTTTAAACTCTTGAGTTTACTGGAATGATCCTTTTTATTTTATTTTATAAATAATAGTTGCTATTAATTTTTTGTAATTTTCATGTACAAAGTTGTGATTTTCCTCATTTGAGGATTGCCTTTTCCCTTTGCTAGAAAATAATGGAATATTTTAAGACATTATGACCTCAATTTTTTCACTACCAAAATGTTTTGTGATGCTAAAATTGAAAAGTGAAAGCATACCTATTAGGGAAGAGAAAAAGAAAATAAAATAGAAGGAAACATGTTTGAGAACTAAAAATGTCAATGAATCTCAAGCTGTCGTGCACTGTATAAGGTGTACCTATTTATAGTCATCTGATCATGGCTGCCTTTACAGTGTCATAGAAGGTTTTCATAGATTTCTGGAAAGGTCGTCCTATATTTTTTCCATTTGCTTTCATAGTTTTTACATTATGTGGCCTTAAGTCTGTTTTTATGTATATTTACATATACTTATGTTTTTATATTAAGTCTTCGCAAGAAGTGACATATTGATAGATATAACTGAACTTAATTTTCCTTATTAGGAAGGTCAAATGTTGGAAAATCATCTTTACTAAATTCACTTACCAGACAATGGGGCGTTGTGCGGACATCAGATAAACCTGGCCTTACTCAGGTGATACTGTTTCCAAGAAATTGAAATTATAGTATGTGCTACGTGGACAAGCATCAATAACATTTCTTCTGCAGACTATTAATTTTTTCAAGCTTGGATCAAAGCTCTGCTTAGTTGATTTGCCTGGATATGGCTTCGCTTACGCAAAAGAAGAAGTCAAGGAAGCTTGGGAGGAGCTTGTGAGTATGCAAATGGGTACTGGCCTTTTATGTTTCTTTTTATTTGTTCTCACACCTTGTATGTAGTTAAACATTAACATTGTTACCTTGTTGGTACACAATATTTTGGTCCCTGTACGCGTTAATGTATTACCAGTTTAGACTCTTCTTATTCTGTATGCTTGTGCCGTTTCGGTAACTATTAACCACTGTAGAATTTGAACATGTAATAAAATGATCAAGCAGTCAGGAAATTTCTCCTTCTCCTGTAATGGAGGGTTAGTGTCATTGTTTTAAATAATTGTTCTATACTGAACTTCAAAGTGGCAACTGCTGGATGAAATGGAACTTCCTTTATTCTGTGCAACACTGCATATCACTGATTGTTTAATTTATTTATCATATTACATATTTTCATGACAAGTACTTCTAACAGCAATTGTTGTACAGTGATATATGCTATAGACATTCAAGACATTCCGGAAGAAGTTGATGCACTATCATATGACGTGAAAGAACATCTCTGCATTTAGCCAAGAGTGTTTCAAATGATTCCAAAACCTTGTTATGGATGAGTGTATTAATGGTAGTATGTGTTGTTTAGATGGACATAGCGGTAACCAAAGTTGCTATCAAAAAAAAAAAGGAAAAGTAAAAGAAAAGAGAAGAGGGTTATTCTTTTGGTAGGAAGCTGAAACCTAGGTTTGTCAGTATATAAAAAGCGGCCAACTAATTCATGGGTTTGCACATATGATGGATTAGATTTTACTGATCCATCATTCTCTTAATTTAATTGACTTACAGTTGCTTCTGTTGCTTATTTATAAAAGAGAGTTAATTCTAATTCTCCTTCTTGTTTGTGAAACTTCTGAATTTTGTAGGTAAAGGAGTATGTCTCCACACGTGTTGGTCTAAAGCGAGTATGCCTTCTTATTGACACAAAATGGGGTATGAAGCCAAGGGACCATGAGCTGATTGATTTGATGGAAAGGTGTGCATAGATTTGCTTGTATGTTGTCATCGTTGTTTCATAAGATGTAGATTGCCATTTAGAGCTGCAAATCAACCAAGCTGTTTGCGATCTCAGCTCGTTAAGGACTCAGTTTGGCTTGGTTTGTTAAGTAAATAAATGAGCCGAGCTCGAATAAGCTCTGTTCGTAAAGCTCGCTTCATTTATTATTTATCTATAGGATAAATTTATTATTTATATATTTAAATAATGTAAATAATCGTAAAAAAAATTCATTATCGAGCTTCAAGCGGAGCTTGAGCTTGATTAGTATTAATGAGCCTAGCAGAGCTCGAGCTGGATTTTCAAGCTCGATTAACAAACAAGCCAAGCTTGAGCCCTGCAAAACTCGGCTCGGCTTGGCTCATTTGCAGCCCCATTGCCATTACATGGCCTCTAAATAGATGTCAGCGACCATTCATTATAAGATTACAAAAACAACTAGAGGCATGATACATCTGATACCTGCTCACTTTTTCCACGGATGTATATTGAGGCACCTACTCACTTTCTCCATGTATGTTTGTTTGATAAATATGTTTTGGACTTCATTTTATGATATGTCGCATATTTCAGATTTGTGTTGCTGTGTCATGCTTCTTGACTGACATCCTTGGCAAAGTTCTTGTAATAATTGGAACTGAACTTCACTTCTAGAGAGAAATTGTTCAGAAGAATGGATTCATTGCAAATTTTGTAATGAATGTGACATTAATGAGTGTGAATAATGATGTGTCATGATTATTTGCTTATGTAATTGCTGGTTGTGCTATGACAATATTTACCATGTGTGTGTACTACATCATGTTCTCTCTGTCTCTCTCTCTCTCTCTCTCTCTATATATATATATATATAATATCTATCTATCTATCTGTGTGTGTCTCGCACACCATTGTTCCTAATGGTGTTGGGGGCATTTTGTCCACTTCAGGATAAGTCTACTCTTTGCAATGTAGCTAAGTTTGTGATTTTGTTACGGATATCACAGGTCTCAAACTAAATACCAGATTGTACTGACCAAGACAGATTTGGTTTTTCCAATTGATGTGGCACGCCGTGCAATGCAAATTGAAGAGGTGAATTTTGAATAAATTCAGTTCAAGGCAAAGAAATGTTTTGAATTTTGAATAAATTCAATGCAAAATATTAGCCTCCTCACCTGTGAAATTAAAATTGATACATACCATCTGATTGCAGAACCTCAAGGCAAAGAAGTCTGCAGTTCAACCTGTGGTATGAAGGAAATTCTGGAATAATTTGATATTTTAGGTCAACCATACTAGGGAGCAGGCTGATAGTCCCACTTTGTTTCTTATTGCAGATGATGGTAAGCTCGAAATCTGGAGCTGGCATCCGAAGTTTAAGAACAGTGCTGGCTAAGATTGCTCGCTTCGCTAAACCCTGAAAGGTTACTACAATGACCATTTTGTTGGAAGATGTTTGCTCTTCTTTTCTAATTCTTTTTCTTCTTCCTTTAAATATTGGAAGATATTTTCATGCTAAATATAACCCTATCCAAGTTTTACTTGTTAACATCACAAATTGGAGCTGAATTGGTCTATGGAATTTCTAATTTGGACCTTGTCTGAATAAAACTGCTAAACTGATAGGTTTGAGTGCCCCTGATGCTATTAACCAATGCTAATTGCTGCTCTTGGTTCTTTTTCAAAATCCATTTCGATACTCCATAGTATGTGTTTTAATATGTTTCAGCATTTTAGAAAATAACATCGAATTATGTGGGCAGGTGAAATAGTTTTGGACAAGCCTCATTCTGATGTATGGCTCCCTCTACTGATCTTTGATGTTTTTTTTATGCCTTCGTTTCTGTTTGTAGCGTATTGGCATTTGGTTATATAAATGTTTTGAGTTTGGGCTATTGGTTATATAATTATATTTACTATTTGCTGCTGGTCGTGTTGTCTGTATTTGTGCAGATTGTAGGCTGAAATCGGAATGGCCACAGTTATGGGAACACTTAATGGAGGCAAGAAAAATTTTGGGAATGATTCGAGAATAGGATTTTTTTCTTAAAAACAGTAAAAAAAGGTAGAAGTGCATGCAAGTGTAGTGATGTCTATTTCTTGTGCATCATATGGGTTGTACTTGCTCAACTTTTAGTAAATGTTGAATTGAGTGCAATAGCTATAGCTCAGATGTTTCTGTATTATGTTTCTTGGATATGAATGCCATAAATTTTGAGCATTATTTGAATTATATTTGAAGCAAATTATGCTGTATCACGAGGTCGTGGGTAAAGGAGGTAAGAAATTACATAGGAAATAGAGAGGTGAACTATGAAATCTCATACGCCATAATCGTTGCATCTGTGGTATGGATGATGGTCACTTAATGTGTTTACAGATTTAATATTCAATTGGAGCAGAATTATTATTATTATTATTATTATTTTTTCTCGGGGGACCTGTGTGTATGTGATCATTTCTTATGGTTTGTGTTTATTTGTTTGTTTTGCTTTTGCCAAATTGAATTTTTTTTTTTCTTGCCCTTTTGTACACTAACCTTCATTGTGAAATTAATAAAGTTAAACCAAATTAATTATCATTAATTTATTTACTAATGTAAAATATATATTCTATTTATTGTTATATAAAAATTTTAGAATTGTAAAATTGAACCGAACTAAATTAATTTTTGTGGTTTAGTTTTGGTTCGGTTTAATTTTTTTAAAACCGATTCTTACAATTTAGTTCTTGATTGACTCTAAAATCAAGCCACTGTGAACATTCCTATATTTTGTGGCTGATTTAAGTGATAACAAGCTTTTCGAAAATGTGTATTCAACCATATTCCTCCAAACGTTTCGTCCAAAGTAATCCTGTGCATTTTTGCTATATTTGTTTGGACGGACTAGATTAGGTTGGATTAGCATTTTCATGACTAATAGTCTTAGGATTACGAATGTTTTGAATTGTGTATCCTATTTTATATTTGGATTGAGTTAGGATTATAAGGAGGGATTAATAAAATATTATCCAATCCGATGTTTATTTAATGAGATTGGAATGGATAGGACATGAACATCTAATATATTGACTATAATATTTCTATTATGGTTTTTTGATAAGTTAGTCCAGACTTTGATTTAGTCTCTCAATTTATATCACACCTCTTATATGGGATTGAATAATTCATTATATGTGAGATATCATATTCGGATGGATTATTAATCTGTATTTTAATTTTTTAACTAAATATTAAATTAATAATTTTATTGAACTGATAGTCCAATTTCAACTATATATCCACCAAAACAAGCAAGCATGACTTTTTTTTTTGTTTAGATAATAACAAATTGAAGTGCGATTTTATCCCGAAGTGGACAAATTGGATCCTGTGGATAGCAGGTTTGGTTGACAAATGATGGGTCCGATTGATAGTATAGAAGGGTTAGTAACCTTGTACTTACCGTAGAATTAACATACCGGAGGGGACTATTGAGAAAACAGTCTCATAGATTAATGTTTCAAGTGGCTGCTGAAATGGAAAAATCTTCTATATTTGTTTTAGCTTCGAAGATTATGAATAGCACCCCTCAAAAAAATATTAATTAACATAAATTATTGTCACAGTATTATTAATTTAGTTGTGTACAAATAAACACTTTTTATCTTACATTTTCAATCTAATATTATCACACTAATAATCTATTCAATCTCAATGTACTCATAATTTCATCCCACTAATCCACCAAACAAGCAACCTTAGTCTTATCTATTAACATTTTAAAATTGTCCTCTTCATTTATTTGTTATCTTGTTAGCATGTGTAGTGGATTTAATGTTTTTTTATCGAATTGGATTTTTTTTTTTTTTGGAAAGTCTCCAGCACTTCACCTTTTCATGATAAATTATTTCAAGTTGTGTTATAAATATATAATTAAAAATTTTCACAATAAGTTATTTCAAGTGGTGTTTTGAAAACACAATTTTACAATTGAAATCTTATTTTTGACACATGATTTTAATAAGGGATTAGATTCTTTCAAATTTGTCATATAACTTAAGACAGTGTTTGGGCTTAATAGGTTTAATTTTGATAATTTAAATAATTTACTTTTTAAAATTAACTGTGTAGAATATTAATGTAAAAAATTTAAAATAATTAACTGCTAATAATATATGTTCGAATCACATTAACGTAAACTGTAGATAGTGCATTTTATGCTTAGATAATAACAAAATTGAAGTGTGATCTCTTGTTAGATAAAAACAAAATTAAAGGCTGCCAAGAGAGAAAATAACCTTTTGATTATGGGATCCAAAGTCATCCCCACCCACCCAACGTGCAAGCAAGTAATAAGTTTACTTTTGTGGTTGTTATTATTATTTTTAAAAGTATTGAGACTTTTACGACCCTTAAAATGATGTGGATTAATTATATATATATATATATATGGAAGTTGTGTTTTTTGAAAATATGTAGTATTGTTCTATTATTTTTTAAAGTTATTATATTTAATATTTAAATATAAGGGTGTTTGGCAATAACATGTTTATGCTTTTAGAGAGGTTTAAAGAAGTGGGAATCATTTAACAATGGAACCAAAAAAAAAAAAAAATTTACACAAACATAGAGTGCAACTCAAATTCTGTGCAGGTGTTTGTGTTTTTTTTTTTTTTTTTCAATTTCATTATTGAGTGATTCCCCCTTTAAATAACATAGTCATTAGTAAAATTTTAATTTTAATTTTTTTCATCTCATATATATATATATATATATATATTCACACAATGATATATACATATAAAAATTCATTATATTTAAAAAATAATAGTGAGAAAATGTGATGAAAAAATAGTAATCACTTTGTTTGGTTCCATTTTTTTAAAAATACTTTTTAGAAAATTCTACTTTCTTTTTTCCGTGTTTTTTATTTTTATTTTTACTGTATTTTTTTAATATTTTAAGAATTTTTTTTTTAATTTTTTAGACATACTTAACATAAATATACCTAAAAAGTAAAAAATTTGTGAAAAAAATATTTTAAAAATTCACTAAATACCAAAAATATAAAAAAAAAATATGAAAATTCAGTATATTTTTTGTATTTTTATGTTTTTATTAATTTTTTAAAATATTTTTTCACAGTTTTTACTTTTTAGATGCATCTAAGTAAGGTACATCTAAAAAAGTAAAAAAATTGTTTAAAATTTTTAAAATATTCACTAAAAATAAAAAAATACAAAACTCCAAAAACTCAATTTTCAAAAAATTTAATCAAAAAAACTCAAACCAAACAGACAGAATAAATTTTTTTGGGGCGAAACAATTAGACAATAATTACAATTTGAGGAAAAAAATGAAGCTAAGAAAAATGCTTGAGACCCCTATTTTTTTAAGACCCCTACAATCTCCTTTACATCTTTACCATTGATGTATGTATAAGACCTACTCATATATGTATGGAGCTCACATTATCAATGATAGAGATTCAAAGGAGATTGTAAAGATCTCCAAAAAAATAAGAGTCTTAATCATTGTTGATGAAACTAATTACACTATACATGAAAAGTTGCAAAATTTTGCAAATTAGTGGACATTTTTTTTTTTTTTATAAAATTGCACAAGCACCTTTTCCCTTTTACTCTCATCTCCTCATCCTCTCATCTTCCCTCTCTACAAACCTCCAGTCCTCCTCACCCTCCTCCAATCAACTTAAGGGTGTGTTTGTTTGGACGGATTGGATAAGGGTAGATTGTATTCCATCGAATTGTTAGTCTCGGGATACATTGTTTCCGGACTATTTGGTTGGATTGAATTTGTATCCTATGTTTGTTTAGTCATGGGTTTAGATGTCTGGATTGAACTATTTTTAATGAATCCAATGTTTGGTTAGACGGACTGAATAAGGATAAATGTTCAAAAGACTATTTTACCCTTGTAATTTATAATTTTTATTTAATATATAATTTAAAATTAACAACACGAAAAAATAATTTTATTTGATATATAAATTTAATTTTTTAACAATAAAAAAATTTAATTTATAAGGCCACAATGTGAAGAATTACACGAGATGCGTATTGCGAAGAATAATAATTACAAGTTACAACACACAGATCAAACGCTGTAGCATCTCTAATATTTTAATCCTTGTTGTTGGCCTCTTCTCTAATATTTTAGTGTCATGGCAATAAACTAATCAATAATCACCACCAAGCATGGATCTACGGCAAGAGGGGCGATCGCCCCCTTATGATTTCAAAAATTTACTATTATAATAGTATTAGTTAACGATCATTTCCAAATTATATAGTCCCGACTTTCCTATTTTGTCCAAAGTTGAACACACCTAATTAGTCAATTTCTAAATTCTGCTATATTGATTTAAATTTATTTTGAACCAATGTAACTCTGAAACCCAAAATTCCCTGTTTCAGTAGATTAGCATTGGTAGGCATAGAATGGGCACTACCCCACTAGAAGCCCGTGTTCTGACGCAGCAAATGTGGTTGCAAGGTCACAAGTCTAGAGGTTGTTTTCGTTGACTAGCATGTAGGTAGTCTAAGTTAATTCCTTATTCGATAGGATAATCCCACACCCTCCCATAGGATAGAATAGTCCCATATTTATGAGACTAATAGTCCGGAGCAAAATTTTACAAACAAACAATAAACTATTAATTCGGTGAGACCAATAATCCAATCTCACACCCTAATCTTTCAAAACAAACACACCCTTTTCTATGACCTCCCAGTCCAATCCCCATTCATTCTTCTTTTTCTTCACAATTAAATTATAAAATTATTAAAAATTATTTAATAATAAGATAAAAATTAAGATATATCTATTTAAATTATTTTTAAATTTTAATATACATATATAATTACATAAATATATTTATTGTTTGTAAATATATTAATTATATATAATGTTTAAAGAAAATATTATAAAGATATATATATCAAATCAATATAAACAAAAGTTGTTGGTGACATTGTGGTTTTTAGGATGGTTTGGAAAGTGGGTTGGTTTTTGGGTTATTTTAGCTTGGGTTAAAAAGTTTGGTTTGGAAAGAATATTTTGATTTTTTGACTTTTTTTTGTGAGAGAAGAGTATAATGATTATGGGTTGGATGTGATGTTTTGTTTTTTGTAGTTAAAATAGCCTATTTTGTCTTTTATGGCTAAAATAGCCAAAAAAAAAAAACCTATGCCAAAACATAGCCAAAATAAAAGCTCAATCTAGCTCTTTCCAAACGAAGTGAGTTGGTTTTTTTGATTTTTTAATTATTTGATTTTTTTGGTTTTTTTAGTTATTTTAGTCTGGGGTTAAAAAATCTGG